TATGTTTTCTATATCGTATTGGAACTGTTTTGGAACGATAATAAGAAACAAGTTCTTTATTTGATGAAAGATTTTCTTCATGTTATTTGGATACATTGTTTTCATTCAATTTTGATGTTACAATAGGAATTATTGAACGGAGTGTTGATGATAATCACGCGTCTTTCATTGTTTCTGCTAGTTGATCTTTAAAAAAATACAAACACACAAATACATATCACAACAGTATGAATTAGGAATTGGTAGTACAAGAAAAGAAATCGTCCGTATTGAAACTCAAAGTTAAAATTAAATCTTTTAGTATTTTAAGCAAATTATCTCCTAAATCATATCAATCAGAGCATAATTTAGGAGAAAAACTAAATAAATTAGCTGAAAAATGCTTTCTGTACTAATTGATATATTTTAAATCTCTTAAAACTTCCAGGATGTTTAAATGCATTCATTTTAAAATTAGTCTCTTTAGTTAACTAATTTCTAGCATGCTGGAACTCTAAAAATATCAATCTAAATTACAAAAACAAATAGGATAGGATAGGAGATCTCCCTGATGAAAAATATGTACAAGTAGACATTTTAGAAGACTCGAGAGACTTTCTGTTGTGGAAAAGGTATTTATACAAAATTCAGTAGAAATCAGTGAATAGAGACCAAAAAAAAAATGAACTTGAAATTTCGAATTTACGTATTGAGCTCATTTTTTCAGATGAAGCCTCACTTACATCCAAGATTCATCCACATAGATAGAAGTAAACTCGGAACTTTTTACTACTATCGGATAAATCAGTGATTTTGTTATGATGTCTCATAAGTAATTAATTAGAACTGAAAGGATTTTCAAAAAAAAATCTAATCTATTTAATCAAAAAGATTGTTATGCATGTCAATAATTATTAGATAAGAGAACAAACCTTTTTCTGAACATTCTTCTATTGAAATCATTGAACGAAATGTAAAACTCGGTGGTAAAGATGATCGTTTTTTCGATGGACAGTAATAAATATCCTTATTATTTAGAAGCTAAAAATGAAAAATAAAACAAAATATATTTTTTTTCATAATGAGAAAAATCAATTTTTATAATATTTACTTCTGATTGTTGATCATTAAGTGATGATTTTTCAAAATACTCTTTATCATGTACAACCATTTCTAGTTCTCGATCGATTTCTTCATCCATTTCTGCATCATCAGCCATCATTCGATTTGATTCCTATTTATTAAAAAAAAAACAAAATGAAAAATTTTTTCTTTTCTTTTTTTTTTTTATGAATTACATCAAGTTTTTTCATTAATACAGCAACAACAACATTAACAAGAACAAATTGTGCCATAAGAACAAAAGTAACAAAATAAATCGGTGTTATGACAGACATAAAATGATTTATTCCACTTTGTGTTGGATGATCTGGACGTAATGCATCCTATAAGTAAACAAAAAAAAAGAAACAAACTTTATATTAGAAGAAAAACAAAATTATTTAATTTAAAATGACTAACTTTCATAATACCATTCCAATTATCACCTGTTGCAATACGAAATAATGTTAAAAATGACATACCAAAATTTTTAAAATGTGCATGTTTATTAAGACCAAAACATGGTCGTTCATCAGAACATTCTAATTTTCCAAATAATTCAACACCAAGTGCAGCATAAATAAAGAAAAGAAGAAAAAATAATAGACTCTAGAAGAAAAAAAAGAACATTTTATATCATCAATATTAAAATTATAAATTTTATTTACCAAATTTCCAATTTGTGGAAGAGCTTGTATAACAGTATTTAATAAAGCTCGTATACCTTTTGCCATTTTTAATAATTTCAATACTAAAATCATAGAACAAAAAAAATATATGAAACCTTTTATTGCATAATAAACCAAAATAACGATTTAGATTTTTTTTTCAAGTAAATCTCTTAATCATAAATTCATATGAAAGAATTTTCTGAGAAATTTTAATGTAATTTTTATATCCTAATAATTGTTCCGATCGACTTATAATTTCATCACTCGAAAAGATGGAAACTCTCTTTCTTCAAAGTATATCATGATTTTTACTTAACTTTCTGTACAGATAAAAAAAAATCACATCTAAAACAAGATTATTCGCTTCGAAGCATAGAAAATTCAATTATAACTTTAAATTCCAATTTAGATAATCTCTATTCTCGTAGGTTTTATCCCAGTCTCAGCAACTTATCTTTCCTATGATATTGACCATGTGTCTAGTCGTAACGTAGTCATTATTTACGATGATGAGTTTCGAAAAGAATTTTTTACTATGAAGAATATATTTATATTTAATTATTACCTCGGGCAATTCTTAAGACTCTCATAACACGTATAATGGTTGGATTAATTGGAAATATATGTCCATTTTTCATTTTTTCTAAAACAATACCAGATATTGATAGAATAACAATAATAGTATCAATTTGATTCCATCTAAAATTTATAACAAAAAAAAATAAATCTTTGAAAATAATTTTTATACTTGTCTTTAAAATAACGTAATGGTCCTAGAGCAATAATTTTTAATATTGATTCAATTATAAATACAACTGTAAATACATAATTACAATAATCAAGAACTCGATCAAGAATCTATTGAAAAAGAAGATAAATAATAAATGAATTTCAAAAAAAAAAAAAAAAAAGAAATTTACTGGTGGCATTAAATAAAATTCTAATGACATTGTAAGAACATTAAGAGCTATAATAGCAGCAATAATTAAATCAAAATATTTACTACTACATATATAATGTAAACGTCTTCTCCATGGTGCAAAATGTGCATAATATGGTAATTCATGTTTACGACATCGTCTACGTTCAAGTTCTAATGCACGTTTAACTTTACATGTTGTTTTTTCTTCACGTTCTTGTTCAGCACGACATTTATGAAAATTTTCAACAACAACACCAACAAACATATTTAATACAAAAAAGCCAACAAGTAATAAAAATGAAATAAAATAAAGTAATCTTGCTGTATTATAATTTCTTATTGGTTGTATATCAACATCAACAGCATCAATACCATTATACATCATTTGTACCCAACCATCTCGTGATGATAAAACAAATAAACATAATAATGCCTTAGGAAAAGAAAAACGTTATTTTTTAGAAAGAAAGAAAATTTTTTTAATACATACTTGACCTAAATTATCAAAATTATATTGTTGATTTTTCCAACGATGATCAGGCATTTCTTCACATTGTTGTCGTGTTATTATATTACGAGCAAATGGACCTTCACAATAATAAAATTTGCCTTTGAATAACTAATAAAAAATAAAATATATAAGAAAAATTAATGTTAATTAAAATTTTTTTCGAGAATAAATCTCGTTTTCTTTTTTTTTTGTTAACATATAAATTTTGAAGTACTAGAAATTTTCATCACGACTGAATTTTAATTATTAAAAAAAAAAAAAAAATTTTTTACCTGAATTCCAAGAATACCAAAAATAATAAAAAATGTACAACAAATAATAACAATATGACCAATAGGTCTTAATGATGAAATTAATGTTTGTAAAACAAGTTTAAGACCAGGTGCTCGATTAATAACTATAAATGAAAATAAAAATTTTAATCAAACAATATAATTTATTTTTTTTCTAACCTCTCAATGGTCGTAATGTTCTTAATAGACGAAAAACTCTTAACATACTAAATATACGTGTTGCTCCTTCGGATTCAGGATTTGATGATGTTACTACTGTACCACGATGCATTGTAGCAAGATCAATAATTGATATAATAACAAGTAAACCATCCATAACATTCCATCTATTATGAAAATAAGTATCTGATCCACATATAAGTCCATTAGCAATAACTTTAGTCATCATTTCTATTGTAAATATTATTGTAAAAATAATATTTGTTATATTTAAGAAATGTCGTTCCTAAAACAAATATTTTTGTTCAAAAAAAAAAAAAAAAAAGTCTTTCTAACATACAAAACTTATTGCTGAAATTGATGGACGTTCCATAGTAAGTGTTATACAATTAAGAGCAATAAAAAATAAAGTTATATGATCAAATGATCTTTTTACAACTAAACATTTAAATGTTTGACGAAGTCTAAAATATTTATTAATTAAAATTATTTTCTTTGATTCATACAAAAAATAATGAATTACCGATTTTCTGGTGAAAAAATATATAGTGAATAATTTTTACGTTTTTCAAAATATTTATATAATTGATTTCCACATAAACGAATTAAATATATTTGATGACAGACCTGAAATAAAAATTCATTACAAAAACTTCTATAGATATTTTAAGTTTCAGGATATATGATGAGTTGTAATAGAGAGATTATGATAAAATTTTTAACGAGATATGAATGTCTCTAGATATTTTTTTTTCCGCTAACAACTACCCCCATATCGTCCTCGTGAGTGCATAAAAGTAATATAATTTATTTGTGACAAATTGAATACTTACTCCTTGTTGTGATTGATTTTCATTTTGTGTTGCATCGATTTGAATATCATTTTGATTATTAAACATTGTTGTTATTGTTATATTTGAATCTTGATCAATATCTCTTCTAATAGAATTATTTAAATATGGATTAAAATCATATTTTGATGTTTCTATTTCATTTATTCGATAAGTACAATGATCAATTGTTGATCGTCGTTTTCTAAGCATATTTAAATTATTTATTTCTTGTTCAATAAATTTATCTTCATGATTAATAAAACATTTTGTAAATGATGATTGATAAGAATATCTTCGTCGTGTAGGATTTAATAAACATTGTCTTTGATCATCTTTATATATTTGATAATTATTATTTTTTATTGAAGATATAGTACAAGTTCGTAATAATGATGAAGATATATTTAAAGATTCATTTCTTATTGGTTCAATACATGTATGAAAACTTAATGTAGTTGATGATGAAGAATTTGAATTTATATTTTTATTTGTTTTTAAATGTTTTTTAGCAGGATGTATATTAGAATCATATTGATTATTTATAGTAGTCTTTGATATATTCATTATTTTAACTTCTAGAAAATATATTGAAATAAGATTATATTAATTTTATATGTACCTTTTTTTCGATGAGTCTTATATTCTTGATGATGACTATGTTCATGATTTATTGATTCATCGGTTATTAATTCATGTGGATTTGGTAATTGTTCAACATCTCCTGTAAGAAGTGCTTGTGTCTATAACAAAAAAAAAGACAAGGTAATCAATATGTTTAGTAATTGAATTAATCAAAATTCTACGAACTGTGAATGGATCAATTTTTTCTAATCGATTTGCTATACTTTCGACATCGGAAGTACCAGTTTCTTTCTGTAAATTGAAAACAAAAATATATATATAGAGGTAAATTTGTTTGTTTTTTTCATCTCTACTTCTGTTGAAAATCCTTCAACGAGAATAGCAACAAGTAAATTAAATAAAACATAATTTCCAAATGTCATTAATGCTATAAAATACAATGCTGCCCATGCATTTGTATACTTCATACCATTGTAAAGTACTCCATGCCAATCTTCTTGAGTTAAAACCTATATACATATATAAATGTGTTTGTAAAAGTACGCAAATATATCCAATTAGATTGTATAGTTTGATATTGAAGCAAATACTACAGAAATACATAAAGCAAAGAACAAGACCAATGCTAGCCACCTTTGTGTGAAGAAATTAACAGTAAAAAAAACAAGTTGTAGGACCGTGACACAAAAACAAAAAAAAAATTTTTGAATTTCGATCTTCCTGAAAATTCTGAAGTTTTCAGATTGTTTTCTCGTGTATGGTTAAAGAGATAATCGCTAAGAATTATGAAAACAAGAAATTTTTTTCTTTTTGTGTGTCTTTTTTCGTTTTAATGATAAACATAAATAATACTATGTTTGAATTACTTGAAATACAGTTATTGTTGCCCATAAAAGAGAATCAAAGTTCTTTCGTGGACAATTTGTTTCAAACTTTTTACTATCATGTCGGTCGATGTATTTACAAAATTTGCAACCAAAAAGATTCATACCCAATATACTACAAAAGAGTTTTGTTTTTTTATATTTAAATATATATTGAATATAGAAATAGATTGATATAAATTTCTTTGTTTTTTTTGACTTACCTAAAAATGAAAATAAATAGAAGTAATAAAGAGAAAAATGTTGCCACATTATCAATGGTTTGAAGCATAACAACCTATATCATAAAATGAATGAAATTGTTTGAGTGAACAAAAAAAAAAGGTTTGAACAGCAAACTAACAAACTGAAAATAAGAGTTTATTAGAATTTATGCGAACTGAGATTGTTGAATAGAGCTCGAGATAACCTAACGTATTTTGTCTGTCTGAACGCAATCGTCTGTAGCAGTGATCGATATGGGTCACGGTTTTTTTTTGATTTGATAGTAGTCGGATACTATTTTCTATCCTACACGAGTTTTCAATTATTTATACATTCAACTCTGTAAATTGATTACAAACCGAATATTTTAGTCTGTGCTGAAATTCTGCGGAGTTCAGGTCAAGTTCGGTAATTCATTCTGAATCAATCGTTCTCAGTCTATATTAATTGTTCATAGCTTACAAAATTTTTCTATAAACTTCGTCATATATCTAATCATAAAAATAGATGAAACTATGTTAAAGGCAAATATTGGTAACAAATCTTAAGTCGTACGACCAATTGAAAATAAATATAATAGATCATCGATAAATTAAATAATCTAGAATACTTTCGTCAAAAAAATTTTCTTACCAATTGTCGTCTCAATGTTGGCATAAATCTGACAAGTTTAAGTACACGTAATAATCTAAATGTACGTAAAACAGATAAACCACTATTCATATGTCCTTGTAATTCAATAATACTAATAATAACAATAGCACTATCAAATAAATTATAAATATTTTTAATATATTGTAAATAACCATCAGCAATTATTTTTAATATCATTTCAATAGCATATAATAATGCAAATGCTAAATTACAAAATTCTAATGCATTTGTTAATGATTGAGGTTGTCCATGATATTCAACACCCATTAATAATGTATTCATAAGAATAGCTGATAAAACAATATGACTATAATATTTACTTTTAACAAAATTTGCTATATGTTTTTGACAATTAAAATAACAAGGCCAAATATATTGATTAAAAAATTGAGATATTTTAGATTTGGATTTTATTTTATATTCTTGTTCGTCATTATCATCATCATCATCATCATCATCATCTTCTTCTTCGGATTCTTTAGTAATACTTAAATGATCATTTATAAAATTTTGATAATAACAATTACATTGATTTTTATCTATAATTACAAGATCTGAATGATCAAATTTTATTGGTCTTTTATGACAAAATATTGATAAATCTGTTTTCATTTCTATAGCAGTATTTTCTGTATGTTTTGAATCGACAATATCCGATTGTTCAGGAGTAGCTATTAATGCATCATCGATCGATGGACATAAAGATGAAGGTATTCGAACAGATAAACTATCTTTTCGTTGATAATATTGGCAAGAAGGTCGATGTTTCATATCGAAATTTGAAAACGAAGATGAATTCACTGTAGAATTTCCATTCTGATGAATATCAATGATTGTTTGTTTATTATTCAGAATTTCTTTTCGAAGATGTTTTTTTATCTCAATTAAACGTTTTTTATTGACCTAGAAATACAAAATATTCATGTTGTATTATTTTATTTCATTTAAATTCTTTTCCTATTAGGCATTTTATTTGATTTGAAGTCTTTGACGTGACATTTACAAAGAAATCTATTTGTGAATACCATGTCGGAAAAATTTCAGCTCGAAAGAACATTTTATTTCCGGCATATTAAAGGTTCAAAAAACCAGAAAATATCAGTATTTGGGTACTATATGAATATCTATTAAGACTTTAGCATATAGAGTAGTGATAGATTCGTTTGTGAGTACATGTCTGATAGAAAACTTACACTCGCCCACTATGTCGTCCGGCTCAGCACTACAATATCAAGTACTAATGAAACGAATTAAGTTTTTCTAAGGATCAATAAGATCAAGTTACGCATGAGCAGAAATTTCTGTAGCTCATCACGAGGTCTACTTACAAAAAAAAACAATAATTTCAAATCGAAAAATATTTTGTTTAATATTCCTACGAATATTCATTCTTGCATATTATTAAAATTCAAAAAAAGCTATCTATATACCGTACTGATAATTTTCTAGCAACATTCTATGAATGCGAAATCATTCTTTTCTACTCTCCTTTCTATATATCCAAAAAAAACAGTGTTGAACTACTTTAAATATTTTTCTTATAAATAAAAAAGAATATGTACAGTCAAGTCTTACATTTATACGTTTAAATCGATAATTTTTCCATAAAATATGAATTTTATTATATGTAAGTTTCCATAAATATTCAAGATATGTAATTGTCCTTGCCCAACATGAATTATGTTCCTCAGTTAATAATGTACTTGATGAATGTTTAAAACGTTTTCGTTCATTTAACATTCGTTCTGTTTCACGTTTTTTTGTTTCACTAAATTGTGTTGCAATAACAACAAGACATAAATTAATTAAAAAAAATGAACCAACAAGAATAAGACATACAAAATAAATCCAAGCCCAAAATGAATGAACATCTTGAATATAATACATTATATTAACCCAACTTTCTTGACTTATTATCTAAAAATAAAAATTGAAATTAATAAAAAAAAAAACAAAAATGATTTAAAATAATAATTCAATAATACTTGAAATATAGCAATCCATGCTAAACCAACATTATCAAAACTAATTGAATCTGAATATGGATTTCTATCAGAAACATTACAAACTGTATAATATTGATTCCAATTAATACAACCATGTATTGTTTTATTTGAATTCTTTGATAATTGTTCATGAAATGTATATAAATCAAGTTCACATGTCATATTTCCTATTCGTAATTTTGGTATATCTGAACATTTTGTCATTCCACTTGATTGAGGATGTGAACAAATAAATGAATCTTGATCATGTGGAGTATAAAAAGTTGGTAATTGAAAATCTCTATAAAATAAATCATATATATATATATTTTGATTTAAAATTTTTCTTTTATTCATACTCAAATAATGTATAATCAGAAATATTTGTCATATTCAATTGTAGAAAACAACGATTACGTAATAAACCTTTCCATAATTGTACACCAATAATACCAAATACAAAGAAAACAAAAAAACAAAGAAGTAAAACATTTCCAAGCATTGGAAATGTATCAAGTAATAACATGACAAGAATACGCATAGATGGAACACGATTAATAGCACGTAATGGACGAAGAACTCGTATTGTACGTATAGCTGAAAAACTTAAATGATCACCTGGTAAAACTGATTCTATTAGTCTAAAAACACAGAAAATTTATATTAGTAAAAATGAAAAAAATTAATTATAATTATACATTAACTAATTTGATAACAATACTATCATTGTGAATTAATTCATATATTTAAATAATGAAGAATCTTATGAGAATTATAATAAATGTTATAGTTGAAATAAATACTTGTATTTTTTTTTTCATTACTGTCGTAAATCATTATGTTCTTAGAGTTATAAAAAAAAAAGAAAAATTTTTCTAAAAATTTAATTCATTGACAATATTTAGATAGAAGTTTTTTGCTTTCCAAAACAGAATTAATTAATCATAAAGGTCATATGAAGTTAGTCTATGACATGTCTTATTTATGATCAAACAATGTTAAGGTGATTTTTAAATAAGATTTGATCGCTTGAGTTACATGTCATGTTTATTGATGAAAATATTAATAGTTAATTTGTTTTTTTTTTTAAAATATAATAGATTTTTCTAGACTGATAATTTTCTTTAATAAACAAATTACAAAACATCAATTTTAACAGGGTACATTTTATTTTACTTTTCTTTTTTTTTTTCTATAAAAATTACTCAAAATAAATCAGAACTTTTCATTCTATGTCGAAATGTAATAATTCATACTAGAAAAATATTTTAATTTGTTTTATAGAAACATAAAGTTGAAACTAACGCGGGAATATTACCCAGTTAATCTTTTCAATTTTTATGGTCATTTTTAATAAATTTTCACTACTAAAATATGATATCTTTCTAAGATATTAGATGTTATAAAAATTGAACTATCTTCAAGACTATTGTACCATCTAATTTATTTTTGAAAACATGTTAATATGAAAGAAAAAAATATTGAGGATATCCGAAGAATAATGACGTCTGTAGTCAGTAAAAAATTCAAATAGAATTTCCTTATTATGGTTTATTTCCGTAATATTTTGCGTCGTATTAAAAATTCAGCTAAATTTTAGAATTTTTATCTAAAATATGAACTTAAATAACAAAGACTATCAATGAATAATGTTTTCTTCTTTCAGATTAACATCTATATGATCTTAATTTACATTTATTCAAGATTTGAATATTTAAATGTTAAAATAAATAAAACTTACCCTGCAACAACAATAAAACAATCCAGTCTATTCCATGTATCAGCTAAATATGTTCCTTGACCAAATATACCCATGGCTATCATTTTAATACACATTTCAATAGTAAAAAAAGCAAAAATAAAATGATCAATTGCGTGTAACCAATGACAACGTGTTGTATCACAAGTTTTTGAACCTTGTTCATCGGAATGATGTTCACATGGTTGATACATTCCAAGTGTAATACAATTAAGTAAAATAATAAGCATACTTATACGTTCAAACCATGGCCATGTTATTAATTGTAAACATTGATAACGAGGTGATGTTGTTTGTTTAAGACAATAAAATACTTTTTCAACAAAACCAGAAAATGGTAATTTATTTTCATTTGTTTCTTCAAAACTAGAGGATGCTGGTAAATTTGATGGAAGATTTTTTGATGTATGTTCATTTAAAACAGGATTTCTTTCATATAAATATGTATTGTTTGGTATTGTAATAGTTATTGATGACCATGGACGCTTTATATTTTTAATAGTATTAGTTTCAGTTGTTAAATAATTTTTATTCATAATTGAGCTATGGAATTATTTCTGTATGCTTTGAATTGAATAGATGAGAAATGTTGGTCAAACCAAAATGCACCTAGGTATAATAATCCCATCAAATTATAAAAAATGATCTTATGAAGACCTACGTCGAGCCGATGAGACAAACTAACATAAAAAACTTGTCAATAATGCATATGTCATTTCTAAGTATTTATCGATCTGAAAAAGAGATAATAAGTATGTAGATTGTTTTCTAAAGAAAAACAATGTTTTTTTTCTATCATGTTGACGATTAAGTTCAGAGAAGAAAAAGAAAAAAAAATTTTCTTTTTTGTTGTTTCAATCAAGGAAAAAAGACAGGTATTTTCTCTTCGATGTCTCTAGATATTAAGCAAACGGGTACATATTGTTTTTTTTTTATCAATGTTGGAATGAATATAAATAAACTATTTTATATTTTGTTTAATGTAAAAAATGATAGAAATAAGATACTATTCAACAAATATTTCGAGGATATGAGAAAATTAAAGGAAAAATCTTAGTTTCATTGACAAATTATTAGAAGTTATATGCACAATGTAAAAAACATAAAGATGAAATTACAATTTCTTTCTTACATAACTGCCTAATACATTTCAACAAAGTAAAAGAAAAAACTGTTGACTAAGACGGTAAAGTATAAGTAATTTCATAATTTTATCAATCAATAATGAGAAAGGATAATGGGAAAATAGGCCAACTTATTCAATATCATTTGTTCTTGAATGATTACCATGCGCTTTTATGTTGCTTGATATGAAGATCGGACTTGATAAAGTTAAAAGCTCGGCGTATTCTGATTTGATGATTGAATTCGACTCATTGTTTTATTATCTTTCATTAGAACAAACTGAGTCGAAGATGAACAAATCGGTTTTGTTTTTCAGAAAGAGTGAATATGACAACGAAGTCGAATAACAATATGTTTGTTGATTACCTCATGTGCGTCATTTATCGTTTATATAGTCTTGGTAATAAATCAAGTTCATTTTTTTTCTACTATTAAATAATCATTAGAAATGATGACGACTAAAACAGTTATTAGAAAAAAAAAGACGCCAAACAATCTAATAAACTTATTAAAATGGCGAATTTTCTCTTCTGTTGCCTGATAGATAAGAACTATTAATTCATATTTATATTTAAAACAAAATTAACGTGTTTTTTTTTTCATGTCGACAATGAACACACAACATTCATATCCTACTTCTGTTTTGATAAGAAAGTTCAATTGAACTTTAACATGAGTTAATTATTTTGTTTTCTTTTTTAACTTAATTAAATAATAATTTATTATAATTTGATACTTTATAATCTATTAAAAATTAGTAACGTTTCGTATCTAATGAGCTGCTTCATTAGACATTAAAGTTAAGATCAGTGATATACAAATAAATACAATAAGAACAAATAAACAATTATTCTTTTCTTTTCTTTGATATTAGTCATTCAGAGCTGTGTGTGAGTGGGTGAAAAAAAACGAAGCAATGTCACATCCAGAGTGGGTGTAGTTGCCAGAAAACACAAGATGTATTTACACCCACACCCTTCTGTTCTCTGAACGTTACTTGTAATTCATGATTAACATGTCATGCGATGAAGCAAGAAAAAAAAGAGAGAGCTAACTCATTTGAAGTGCGTTATAATATTCCTTTATTTATTACTTGAACATGATCACAGAAAGCTAATACATCGATTTATTGAAGCAGTGTGACTTGGTCGGCGCAAAATTTAGTCTTCAGTTTGTATTATAATTTAACGATGCAAGGAACAATAAAGCGAAGGCTAACAATTAAGCCACCATATAGACCTAAGATTCGTGAAACAACATAAAGTGCGTTATTGTGCTGGTTGACTGTATACAGACAATAGGTCGGAGCATATTGTTGATAAAACGAAGCATTCGATACATTAAGATACCATTGTTCAACAAATAGTGCATCGACAATATGCTGAATAGTAGTGTTCGGTTGGAAACGACTAAACAATGAAGCATTCATCGCAGTTGCATTGTATCTTGTTGGAAAAATTTCTAGATCGCTTGTCATCAAATAGTTCTCTAGATAACCAATCAATGTTGGGTTGTACAAAACTTCGAAAGTGGATCTGAGCAACGTTTTCAATACTGAACAACCAAGAACTCATCCAGGCATCACCGACGAAAAGAAATCTGGTTCAACACAATCACTTCTTATTCCACTTGAGCAATAATTGTTTACACTGACAGGAAAGATCAAAACTATTTCTGGTTGTTGAATATCATTCAGCCAGAAGTACCAATTCAAGGCATAACTGGACACAAATGTATTGCCATGGACGAAATCACGTACAAGTTGTATAGCATGAGAAAAATGAAGTTCGGCATCACTTTCAAACTTGCTCGTTATATCATTCATTCGTAATAGAAACTGAGATTCCGATATAGTTTCTACGCTCAGAAACGTTTTAGCTAGGAATTCATCGATTGAATTTTGAGCCGTCAATATATAGTCGAATAGTTACCATTCGACATGAATTCTATCCATGATGCGTCGACAAAATCGCTCGAACATACTTGATGATATATGAGATTAGTTGTGATGAATTTCTGATAAGGAACAGAGATCATACTACATGGACAGTGAAGGGTAGAGTCATATTGAACAATTAACTCTGTGTGTTGTATTAAAGATGACGTCTCAATTCTTTTATTCACTGTGACTGGTGGTGCGACCGTATATATGATAATCACTATAATGCTGATGACCAGAAGAAGAAGGTAAATGTGTATTGCCATACGTTCACGCTGAATGATCTTGATGTCCATTGCCCACTGGCGAACATGTTTAATTTAACCAGTTCATTTCGATATCGAGCCAATCGATCGCGTGCATCTAAAAAGTATTCTTCCTTTTCTCAACAATTTATAAGGTTCGTGAAAATAAGTAACAGAATTTATAACCAACGAGAAAGATTTTAAAAATTATCATTGACTCAAATAGATTAAACCACGAAAAAAGGTAGCAGAAGCACATGAATAATGAACTAAACTTGGTAACTTAGACATTGTACTAATCTTGGGTATCAATGTGAAATTCACTTGCGCACAAGTTGATTTTAATTAAAACTATTTGTTTATCTCGACTTTTATTTCAGCATCGAGTTTTATCAATCAAGAAAATATAAAATGTTTAATCAAAAGTTAAAAATTGATAAGGCATTATCCGTGTAATATTCGTTTTCATAGATCATAGAAATATCTTCTTTTCAAACAGCATCTAAACTTTTTAAAATGACTTTCTCTAGTTCTTTTTCGTCCTTAAATTTCAAGTGTCAATAAAAAATTTGTTGAAAAAGCTTTTTTTTTTGTTGTTCAAAATATCATGGATTTGTTTTCATTGCTTTTGTTTTTTGATCAATACTCGCTTCCTCTGCTTATAATTACATATATGAAAATGAATTTTAGACTTGCGATCGTTTAGCTTCAGTTGAGTATTGATTGTTGATGAAACATTCCCTTGAGTGAATTGTAATCATTTGAGAAAGAGTTTTGCAATTAAAGGATTTAATAAACGAAGAATGACGTTAAGAGCATCGAAGAGACCTATTACTGTTTTAACAATATATATGAGATTGCTTCGCTCTTCATATGTGTATACCCACGGAAAAATTCTTCCGAAAAAAAACCGCGGTAATCTGAGGTTAACCGCGGTTTTGTTCCACATTTTGAAAAATCGCGAAAATCAGACCATTTATGCGTCTTTTAAAAACTGGTTGAAACCGCGGTTTTTTCTTGAAAAATTTTTCCGTGGGCAGTGAAAAATACAACGATCGATACCGCCGAGGCTGAACAAAATCACTCGAACATATCTGATGATAGGTATGAATGATTTGAATGAATTTTTTGTATGGAATTGATATGACGGTGCATGGACATTGTAGTGTGTTTGGATAGCGTTCTTGTAATTCTTCATATTGCTCTTGAGTTGGTGATTGAATAGTCTTAATAAAAGTTTGCACTGATTGAGTTGTATATAAAATGAGGACAAGCATCTCCATGATTAACATTAAAAATATTAGACCTCTGATGAAGTATGGAGTGCAAAGATGTAGTACTACATGGAGTCCTCTGACAAGACCGAAAAGTGTTGTTACAACGAAGATCCAATTGAATCGATCAGAATACGTGTTTACAAAAGAGATCGGAGCACACTCTTTATAATAGGCAGTAAAAGAAGTCGTGTTAAGAATCTTTTCGACAAAGAGTTCGTCGATTATTTCTTTGAGAATCATTGTTGGTGGAAAACGACTGGTTGTTGTTTCATGCAATATTGATATATTGATTGTTCCTGAATAGGTCGTGAGAATGGTATTGATACAGGACTGATTGTAGAAACATTCTAATGATGATGCAAATGTTATGAGTGAAGGTAAACGATCGAACATGATTCCCGGTAGTGTCACGTTGGGAATGATCTCGTTGAGATCATAAGTTCCAAACGTAGCTATACGATTGAATAGATAGAGACCAGCTGGCGTCTGACAAGATTGATGAAAGATTGTAATAACATGAGTCATTTCTCTCTGGAAGCAGATACTCTATCTGCAAAAGTTGTACATAGAACGGAGTGCCGTCATCCTCTGATATAGTAACTACCAAGAAATTTGTCATCACGTCTGTCACAAAACCATTAATTTGGGTGACAGTTTGAATAACAGTGAGATCTCTTGCTGTTTGCCGCACAACTTGAAGTGCTGCTTGAATCTTAATTTTTGAATACGTTTCGAAAAAAAAACAGTATAGCTGATCAGCGGATCGTTGGTGAACTCTTCCAATGCAGCATCGATAGCGTTAGCAGCACTTTGACAGAGAGCAGCGGTTATTTGCCACATAGTACTTAAAGTATTGCACAAATCCATTGTCCAAAGTGTCTCTATGTTCACTTCAAAAGTAAAATCGATCCACGATTGAGAAACGAAATCACTGGAACAAACTTAATGAAACGTTGGTTTAGTTTCTACGAATTAGCCATATGGAATTGAAATTTGTGCACAAGGGCAATGCAAAGTGTTCATATATTTTCTTTCCAATCTTTAAAATGTAGTGAGACTTGACTGTTTCAAAGTTTCAGTTTTAGTTTGTTCACTGATTGACGTATAAGCCAACAGAATGATAAGAGCAATACCAAACATGATCCGAAGGAGACGAGTAGTAAAAATTTGCCGATGAATAATAGTTGGGTCTGTAGATCCATCTTTGAATAGATTTACACGAATGAGTTGCCCACTCAAACTGTGATACAATCTTTGTAGTCGATGAAGGATCATCATTTGAAGAAATAATACAGAAGGGTAGCTGTCTATTGTAGAATGGGTTCTAATGTAGAATAGTCTTTCTTTGTGTGTGTGTGACATCTGCAGTATTCTATCTAGAATATATTCAGTGATTATTTATTCACTTTTTGTATTCTAATCTTCTCGATTTCTGAGCATTCATCAATGAACAATAATTAATAGGTGAAACTTGACAAGAAAAGAATTTTCAAATGAAAATGAAACAACGTTCTATTATGGAACTTACACTACACAAGAGTTGCGAGCTTTTTTCAGAAGATTACTGTGAAACTAATTACTCTAGCTCTTTTGCGACAGGCAATAAGAATTGTGAAATATTGTCCTTGATTTATGTTTTATTTGCTAAATAAAGACGCCAAAATTGCTCTTCGCTTCTAAATTGATGCTCTTTTTCTAGCAGAATGATTCTCAGGCTTGAGAGCTCTTTCATATTGTAGCAAAAGTGTCTTCTATCGTCGGAAACTGGGATATGATTTTGTGAATTTTAAAGAAACAACTAGATAATGAAATACTTGAAATCTGTATATGTATTACTTGTGATTGGTTCTTGCTGCCATAATTCACTGCATGTCATCGTAAACAAACACTGACTAGAGATGAAAGAAATGCGGAAGATTACGTTAAGAAATCTCATCTACAAATGCTTTCAAGGTGAATTCAGTTAAAAAAAGAAATACGACTAGTTGATGTTAGGTGTTGCTCGTTTTCTTCGCCTAGCATATGTTTCATGATTTCAGAGAACTCTTTCTTTCATGAGTTTCTTGTTCATATTATATCTTCCTCTCTGCTTAAAATATCAGCGTCAGCAGGTATTCGTGACAGGTTGAACACAGCATCATTAAGGAAATATGAGTTAATATGATGTTTTTTTTTCACTTTGTGCACAACAAGCATTGGATGGAAATGCTGAACTCTTTCAGACTAATTAGTGGCGATTCATCTATTGTTCTGTTTGAAACCTTGTCCTAAGCTAACATAAGTCCATAAGATGTTTCATTGGAAAATCAATCTCTTCGAGATAGCAAGAGCAGTTTTGTTACACTTATTATTGTCAAAATATCAAATACGTTGGATACTTTTCTGAAATATTTGGGTCGTGGAAGAGAGGATCGTCTGGTCAAAAAAAAGTTGAAACTTTTTATTGGATCTTCATTGGAATCATTTTTTTATAGCGACATATCCAACAAACATAACAGCGACCAGTAAACAAGTTCTGAAACGTCTTTACTGATGATATTCAAAGTAAGGTCGTTGTTAGATACAAATACTAGATGAAACAAACTTAGCGATGGCATTTTCACTTTCCTTCTAAAAAGAAAGAAAAGTCGAAAAAATTTTCATTTCTATTTTTCATATCGTAGAAGAATGTGCTAAACTTTCTGTGCTGTGTTGTAAAGAAAAATGCTTTAAAAACAACTACAAAATAAAGTACAAAGAAAGTAAAAGCAATGGGAAGTAAAGTAACTGGAAAACAAAAGAAGGTAGAAAGAAAATTAAAAACCCTTTGTCTGACTGTTGGATCATTTGACCCATTCTCATAACAGTTATGTTTCGAATGATGTGGTGTCAACTCAAGACCGTTCTTGAATATTGTGTACAGAGTGTAAGTATGGATGTGAGTGTGTGGGTATTGGTCTTCCTTTCAACAAAACATAGACCTATGCCAACACTCACATCCACACTCGCATGTTCAATATATATTGCACGCTAATGATGTAGACAAGGAATAAGATTATGAACTTAGAAAATGCATCTATGAACAGGATATTTTGATCGACTGATTCATTTCGATTCAACCCACTTGATCTGCGGTTCGTACATGGGTTAGACTTCTGACAAGTAATAGGCTCAGAGACCGAGTATTTTCACGATTCGAGTTATAGGTTTACGTGAACTGTCGAAGTTGATCTCATTTAGAAGCTTTACTTTTCATAGAGTCGCTCATCATACAATTACTTTAAAGATTCATACTATCTCGTCGTTCTTTCAGTGACTTAGATTTCTCTACTTGGTTTAAAATATGTATACTTTAAATGTACTGCTGGAATAGAACGTCGGTATGGACCTAGGTTTTTTACACCCGCTGAACCACACATCCAACCTCACCCGTAGTATGCATGAACATAAATTATTACTTTTACTTTAAAATTTGTTGTCTGAATGTTTAATTGATATTTTCTACTGTTTATACATATGTTTACACAAGGTTTTAGTTGATCCGTCAATAGAAGGAGTAAATCCTTCAGTCTGTAAATCGTGCTGGCTTCGATGTCCAATCTAGGCGTATTGTTAAGGATGTCTGATCCTGTTACACAGCCGCATCTCATCGAACATGTGAAGGTGAACAGAGAACTTGTATAAGCACAAGCCCTACACATTCACACCCACATCCTGATCTGAAATTGTAAACCACAGATACACAGTTTATCACTTATTATATTTTGAAACTGTAGGTGCGGGTATTAATGTTGCCGAAGAGAAAGCCCATATCTTTGTATTCTTGTGTCTTTTTTGTGTAATATGTAATTGAACAAATCACATAATCGAAAAATACAACCATTTTATAGAAGCCTAAATAGACAATGAAAAAACTTAAGGTCAGGCCGTGAAAAAAATATTCTCGCCGTTTCGGCCTTTGATACATGATAATTTTATGGAAGAATAAAAAATGAATACTAATAATATTATAATTTCACACGAGCATTGATTCAACTAATTTCATTTGTCTCGGGCTTTTTTGTTATGTGTTTCGTCCACCATCGATAAGCTAGTAACAATTGACCAATAATCAAACGCAAACCATATGTTAAGCCTAAATAAACATACGTAAATGAAATTTCAATGAAATTTCTTTGTTGATTTACCTCCGTATACAGCCAAAAGATTTGTTAATATAATTATAGGATCATTTTTATCTGATGATATATATTGACATTTTAACGGATTACATATTTGAAAATAATTTGTATAATTACTAGTATTTTTCCATGTTTCTACAAATAATTGATCATTTAATTTTCCTAATGAAAAATTTTCAAATTTAGACAAACGAAATCCATCATATGGAAAACAACCAGTAACAATATCATCTATCAATGGTTCACTACAATTTGATGAGATTGTACAACTACAATTTGATAATGAAAAATTTCTTGGAAATGTTTTTAATAAATATTGTTCATTTTCATCAGTAAAATCAATTAACCAATTACTTCTGAAAAGATGTAATAATTGATTAACACTAAATGAACCAACTATAAATGAAAGAGTACGACGGTATTCAGCTGGAATTTGAGAAATAAATCTTGAAATAAACGATTGTATTTGACTATCAAATGAAGAATGAGTTAATGTTTCTACACTGATGAGTTCAAAAGTATCAAACACTTCTTTAGCATTTTCAATAAAACGATGAGATGACTGACATAATGAGGACAATAAACGATAATGAGCACTTAATGCTGTTGATATATTATCTTTCTTTTGTCTTAAAGAAATGATATATGATAGAGAAACATATTCACTTGAACATATTGAATGATATTCTGGTTTTATTGATAAAATTTGTGAATAGGGAATAGCTACTTTTGAACATGGACATGAGAGACTTGAAAGATTCATTTTATGAAGATTATTGACAATATCCATTGTTGGTTCTTTTATTGGCATAAGTTCTGTTTCCGGATTGAATGGACCATAATAGATAACGGCAACAATCAAACATAAAATAAATAGAAATATGTAAATGCGAGTGGCAATAATTTCTTGATTTTGAAATTGTTTGTTAACCAAGGGCGGATCACTCGCAAATAAATTCAATGATAATAGTCTTTTAAATTTTTTATTAAAACTATGATTAGTCTCTTTTGATGAAGAACATGGAGCATTCATCATTGTATCTAAAATACGATAAACATCTATTTAACCGCTTTAAGGTTTTTTTGTGAAACTCATATATATTTACGAAGAAAATGATGAGTATAAATTTTAAGACGAAGTTTTGTGCCTGCTCATTCTCTCTCCACTACAGACCGTAGTAACTGACTTTATAGTTGTTGAGTATTCTAGCGTATATGAAATATGTGAGCTCCACATTCCAAATCCAAAGAAGCTGCGCTAACAAGACTTTTCAAAAGAAAAACTATCATACAATACTACAACGGCCGAGCAACACGCTCCCATTTTTCTGAATCTGAAACTAGGTTCAAACCCCACAAAAATTAAATGCAGGAACTTAGGTCCATGCTCGAACTTTTGGTCAACAAGACTCGGCACGAAAAAAGTGTCGAACGAATAGTAACGTCAAAATCTTCAGCTCTATAACACAGATTAAATTCAAAGTTCATTGAAAAAGATTTGTTAAATTTGCCCTAGAAACAGAGCTGAATACAATACAATGAAAATATTTGAATCTAAATAAAACACAGACCTTATCGTGCTCCGTTTTAGACGGACTCACAAATCTTCAATGCGAGAAAGTTAATATCTTTTTCGATATAAAGTCACCTATCATAGGACTAAAATATAAATGTAAATCACTTTCCGTAAATCATTGGTTTGAATATGTTTTATGCTAGACATTTTTAACAAAGGATTGTTTTATTTAAATGTTTCACTGAATAATTTATCTGTTTGTTGAAACATAAAAAATTCAAGTATATATGATATTTAATGAAAATTTTTCTTTTCTAGTTGCAATCGAAATCCTACGAAATAGCCTAATTCATCAATGCCTATCATAAAAGTTGATATAATGAACAACACTAAACGTAACGAGAAACCAATGGACTTCATAGTATTCATCGGTATTTGACTTTTACACAGTTATAATTCAGGAAACTTGAAGCTCATTGGATCAAGCTACTATGACTCTAGATATTGTGCCCATTATGATAACATTTTCATGAAAAAGATGTTGTTTCGTCATAAAAATTAGAAAACACTTCATGTGCATTTACCATGAAAGTGAAGTGGAAAGGTGTGTCACTCACTAATAATTAAAAACGTTTCATTTTTGTTCAACAATACTAAAAAGATTTGCGAATGTTTTTTTTTTAAACATCCTTGGAAGACATTTTCTAATACCATTCCTAAACTTTTACACGACTGCTGCATATGATTGAAAGAATTCTTTTATTACAACTGATTGTCAATATGATTCTATTTTTAATAATGAGCTTTAACTTTTGAAAGTTTGTTTCTATAGAATTTTATTGTCATAAAAACGTAGCTTTTTAAGCTGGTTTGAAAGCATATCTTCTCAGTTGTATTAAAGAAGTTTTGTTTTACGAAAATGAGTAACTTTAGTTTTATTATTCTACAAGTACAAAAGAAAGATTTAAGCAAAATATTTTCAAATCATTTCTTCAAAATTTCTATTGATATTTTAATTAAAATGCGTCGTTTCCTATCAATCTCTTTTATTCATAGAACATTATTGATTTACTATTTCTATTGCACGAAATAAAATAATAATCATTATCTTACCTGTCGTAATGTTGTTAGGACTAACTATTGGCTTTGATTTTTCTTTGTGTTTCGACCATCGTTGTAAACTTGTTCTAACAAGTAATGGTAAGATTATTTCTAAAATTATCACTAATCCTCCATAAAATCCAAGCATTTTAGCTAATATATCAATATTCAAACGTTTTCGTATAGTATAAGTACATTGTGAAGGTGCACACCGTTCATAATACGACGTATAATTAGTTGAATTAATCCAATCTTCTACAAATGCTTGCGATACAATTTCACTTATTATCGTATTTGGATAAAAACGACTATTTTCATGTTGTAGTGGTTGTATTTGAGCAGCACGATTGTTCAATGGTCGTACTAAACCAACAACATCAAAATCATAGTTATCAACAAGAAGTTTAACACAATTTTTTTCATATAAACATTCTAATGTCGATAAAAGAACAGAATCAATTGCATAACAACCAAGAAGTAAACCAGGTATGGTTATATTAAGTATATCAATACTTGAATTTCTTTTTTGAAAATAAAAACCAGTTGAACGACTACATTCATCAGATACACCACATGAACATGAATTTGTATAAAAATGTCGTGATCGAAAAAAAAATGTCCATTTTGATGTTTCATTAATATATTTTGAAGCAGGTGATGTACTTGACATCATTTCTTCAGCTAATTGATTTGTTTTAATTGATGAACGAATTAAATAAATTAAATTCAAAAAAGATCTTATTGTTTGTTGTTCAAATCGTTTTAAACGTGTCATTGTTTCAATATTAAATTGTAAATTTGATATAACATTCATAGTAACTAATCGATTCGAACGAAATACATTTAATGCATTTTCAATTGTTGTATGTGATAATTTACATAATGTACGCATTAATTCAAAAAATGATTGACCACCAACTCGAAAATCAGCTGATGTAAATCTAACAATAGTCATATCAATTTCTACACGACCAAAATAAGATAACCAATCATCTTCAATAAATTCACTTGAACATATCGAATGATAACGAGGAGTAAGAGACATTATTCGAGCATGTGACATTGAAAATCTTGAACATGGACAATTCAATGTTGATTCATACATTGAATGTAATTCTTTAAATCTTGAAAGGGAAGGTTTTTCAACAGTATATGTATGACTATGTTTTAAGAAAGATGTATAAAAACCAAGAATTATAAGACAAATAATTATTAAGAAAATATAAAGACGAGTAGCAATAATACCAAAACGTTCTCTTTCAGGATCATTTTTATTATCCGACGAAAACAAATTAAAATTATGAATTGTTCGCTGAACGTGAACAGTTACAGCTATAAGAAGAAAAAAAACAATTATTTTATTAATTTTATTGAAGATTCTACAGCGAAAAAATGATTGAAAACATGTATATTTCAACACATCAGTGTTATCTAATCGCTATAGTTCAATGATTACATTGTACAGTATTATAACTCTATGGTATTACGTTCGAATCTCGACATTAGCAACCATGATAATAGCCTTATACAAGTCAAGAAGAGCTGTTTGTCTCTGATTATTCACCAAATAGCAGATTAACTACATAAAAGGCATACACTGACATTTGTGACTAGTATACAATTTCAATAACAATATCAACGATAAAAAATGAATTGTATTATTTGGTAGAAACAACAGTCATGAAGTATGTACGAAGTAAAAAGAATATCTGCATATTTTATTTTTTTACATGTCAATAATTTATATTGAACATCGACAAATAAAAATTAATATTTGAAGAGAAAAGTTATTTTTAAATGAAATAGTTAAAAATAGTTCGTATCTGAGGTTTTCTTTGTTTGAAAGTGAAATATTCTATGTTAAAAAAAAACTGCGAGATTTGAACGCACAGATACAAAAATATAATCTTGAATTTATGTATTTTCGGAAATCTTTAAAAAAAAAGAAAACTTTAATAAATAATATTTTTCAATGTAATATCTAATTAGGGTTTTTTTGCTTAGAGGTAATGTGGATGTAGGTGTGATCTGTTGAACTCATAGGGTCGATTTGAATAAGTACTCTAATTATTATCTTTTAAAAAGAAAATACTATATTATCATGCTTAATAGCTAGTTACGTATATATTATTAACCTTCATTGATTGGTTTTGGTGCCATTTTCATAATTTCTAATTCTACACATGTTATTTCTGCAGTTGTAGATTGTTGACGTTGTTGTTTTTTCCATTGTATTCGTTGCCAAATTATGACAATAGCTGGTGTAATTAATTCCCAAACAGTAACAAGACCACCGAAAGCATTAAGACTTAGAGTAATAATTGTTCCAAAATGAAATCGACTTTTATAACTGTAAGAAATAGATTGAGGTTGACAAGCAGCATAATATTTTTCAAAGCTCGATTGATTTTTCCAAGTTTCAACAAATAACGATTCATCAAATAATGAACCTATTGTTGAATTTAATGGAAATGCTGTTAATGATACATTCAAAGCTTTGGGTCGAAAAATTTTTGGTTGAAATGATATGGCATCGACACATGATTGATTATATAAACATTCAAGAGTTGATTGACGCATAGCATCAAGAGGTATACATCCAGCCATTAATCCAGGAATCTAAAATTGTATTATTTCTCTTTAATAGATAATATTTTGATTTGTTTTTAAATTTTTATTAGAAAGAAACAATACTTAATACGTATTTCATTAACTCTTAATACAAAATAGAAACATGTTGGATTGAATACTTTGTAATCAGTTGATGATTCAGTCTTTTCTCTATCTAATGGTATATGAGTAATCGTTATTAGAGAACACTGTAGGACGGATTTTTTCTTCGGAAGAACAAAGGAGTTCGCTATAGAATGATGTTATTATTGTTTTCTTGACAATAATGACAAACTTTTTATGAATGCGAGGTACGATGTTAAATAGAAATCGGAAAAATGAGTGCAAAGAGAAGATGTGAATGTGTCCTAGTAAAAATATTCATTAACAGAATACTCGTGATAAAATCTGAGTATCGGAGTACGACACTCGAGTAATAATTGATCCATGAAAGGAAGATATGGAATAATAAAAAATGTTTAGTATAAATCCTTACGAAAAATTGTAATTAGATTTTCCTTGAATAATATTTACAAAAATTAATTAACTATCTTTAGTATGATAATCGTGTTTTTGAAATTTGAATTTTTAAATAATAAAGACAAAAAAACATTTGATTACCTGAAATAGAGGTGGTGGATAATTTTGAGCTGGTTTTCCCAATTCTCGTGATGTCCAATTATAAAAAGCACCGGCTGGATACGTACATTGATTATTACTTAATCTACAATCGCAAATAGATTCATTTGTTCCATTTTGTTTTAAATAAACTGCATTATATGTTCTATATGATGCTGAACCAGGTATAGAATACGTATAATAATTTGTACGTAAAGCTGACATTAATCGATTCTGTGCAATCATTAATGATATTGCTTTTGCAGTTCGTTTTTCATTAGCTAAAAGATTGTTTTGAAAATTAGAAATAAGAACATTAGCTAAATCATTGAATTGTGCACGTGAAAAAGTAAGAAGTGCAACTAAATTAGTAGAATTAAATGAATGATAATTATCATTAATAGTTTGTTGTGCTAAATTACATAATAAACTAAGAGAACGATAATGAGAAAAAGCAAATGTACGAAAATCCAAAACATTATGAGATGTTGCATTTGAAAGATATAAAGAATAAATCCATTCTCTTTCAATAAATGAACTTGAACAAATTTGATGAAATGTAACAGATAAATTCAAAAATTTACTATAAGGTATTGATTCTTTACTACATGTAGCTTTAAATGTTGTTGAATAACGTTTTTCAAGTCGTTCGAAATCAGATATAGAAAATTCATTTAATGTTACATCATATGTTCGAACAAATAAACTAGCATAACTAATAATGGCTAAAAGTGATATTAAAATTAATATCAAATAAAGTCGAGTACTATAAATTTGTTCAGCAGGTGTTAATGCTGATGACCAAAATGGATTATTAGAAAATAAATTTAATTCTTGAATACCACGATTAAAACGTGAACGTGCAGCCGATAGGATAATTTTCGAAGATGAACATTTTCTAACGTCACTTGATAGATTACTTGTCATTATTATTCTAGATGACAGTCAATTTTCTCATAACATATTATCTAAAATTTGAAGAAAATCAAATTATCTCAATGATATCTTTGTTATTTATATAAATAGATCAAGTTAATTCGATATGTATATAAACGTTACAAAAAATCAACTCCTAACATTTTACAGGATGACTCAAAGGTTATTTTACAGAGAAAAAATTGAATATCTACTTTACAACTCAAGCAAATGAGCTGAACTTTTTTTTTTACTAATAATAGAAGCATGTTCACATTTCATATCTATAAAGATAAGGCAAGAGAGAACCTTTTTTCAAGTACTACTTTTAACTTCAACAAAAAACTTTTTATCGCAGATATAGAAAAAAAAATAATGTACGACGAAAAGAATTCACTTCATTAAGATAATTTTTTTTTCATGAAATATATGGTAGAAGCCATTTATGTATCTGTATATACAAAAATAGATGAAAATTCTGTCATAAAAAAAAACGAAAAAAAAAATGAATTTTTTAAATGGTACTTCTTATTTAATACTATTAATCTGTCGGATGACATCGAATATTTATCAATAAAGATACACTCAAATACAATAAATAAAAAATTCTGTACCTAAATAGAAAAATTCAAATAAAATGAACACAATGGAACGATACGGAACAGTATATATAAACTTACGAGTCTTTTATATCAACTATTAGAATACACTAAAACAAAAACATAACGATATGTAATCAATTGGCGTACTCAAATTTTAGCGCAAATACTTTTGAATTAATAATTGTTTAAAGAATATTTTCAATAATGATGCTTCTTATATAGACAATTTAGAACTTAGTAATTCAAGAAACAAGATGAATGAGTATTTTCTCGCATTTTAATTCTGAACAAACTTTAATTTTAAAATAATTTTGTCTTAAACAGTATTAAAGAAAAAGATATTTTAAGTCTTACGAAAACATTAGTAAAATCATAAACTTAATCGGTAGAATGTGTATGTCATCATGTCCGTGTTTTTCTTTCGTTTCTTTCCATCTATAGGGTACTGCTCGATGATAGATAAAAATGATAATTTTTTTTTAATGTTTTTTTGCCCATGGACCATTCTATTATCAGAAGCTATGAATAATTAATCATCGATCTCTTGATTATTCGCATGAATAAATTTCGAAAAACAAAATTGTATAACTTCATTTTTTTTTATTTAATAAATATCATTTCGAATAATCATTGTCCATATGATATTAACAAAATGATTAAACTAAAGAGAATCGATTATTTTTATAAATGATATGAATATGATCATTTGTTATTATTGAAAGAAATAAGAAATTTTTAGTTAAAACTTATATATATAGAAACAATATTGAAATAATAAATAATGTTAGTTTCAATTCTTTTAGACTAATACATACAACTATAACATTGATGTCAAGTAAAGTTATTCTTCCGGTTATATATAACAACGCTAGATATGTCAACTAATGTTTTTTTTTCTATCTTGTCAACACTAATAAAAAATTCTAAATATTGTTTTATCATATACGATGGAAAGAATGTTGATAGTTATTGAATGCCATATATATATAAGTGATTAGTTTCGGACAACAATTTTTCTTAAACGAGAGAAAAAAACGAATGTTTTTCTATATAAATTTCAATATTTACTTTTTGTTGATCAATAAAGGACATATTTTCATGCTATATTTTCTTTTATTCTATTAGCATGTCATAATAGTATAGCTAGTAATGATAAATAGACATGTTATTATTCCTTTAACTTTTACAGAAAATTATCAGCAAAAGAACTTGCTTATTAGTTCTTAGTTCTATGAATGAATACATAGGGCACTGATGAAACTGCATGGCAACATATAGACGTACTAACTAGCGTTTATTTTGTTTTTATGAAAACATACTGTCTATTATCTATCATTTTCCTTTAAGATATTTTTGTATATCTAGTAGTGAGAAAAGAAACTAAACAAAAGTTGATTACATAGATATAATTCAAAAGTATTAATTATAAATATATACTTCTCGATTTTTGAATAATTTATCATTGATGCAATTGAACTTCTATACTTTAAATTACTTTATTTCCATTCATATGTATATTACTATATATAGTAATAACAATGTATTTCTCTCTTATTAAAATACGAAACAATTATTAATTAATTAAAAAAAATATATTCTAGACTACTAGTTCTAAAGTAACAAATATTTCTATCTTTGTAACCAAACAGAGAGTTACTTTAATAGGTAATTTAACACAATTGTACGTTTCTGTTTGATCAAATTTAACTACTGTCTCATAAAAATGAAAAACATTTTCATTATACAAGAAATAATTATATCATGAAAAACAATAACATGTATTGTGATTTATTCCACATGAGCAATTAGAAAATTTCACAATCACATGACATACTTCCATTGATTCCGAATGTAGTATTACATTTTTACAAGGTTAAAAAGGAATGAACTATGTTTCAGTCCAATGTTTGAATCATCGAATCTTTCGAATACCTAGAAGGCTAACAGAATTCCATGGATTTCATGATTTGTACATGAAATACGAAAAAAAAGAACTGTAAATGCTACTGTCTAATCAAAGCTATTTGACTAGGTAATCTATCGAACAAAATCTTTTTACATGATTTTGTAAAGATATCTATATCTGATCGACATACTTACAGTTACAATAAACTTATGGTAAATTCAAAATAACATAAATACTAAATAGATAAATTCATATGTATTATTTTGAATATTAGCATAAACGAAAGAAACATAAACTTCAAGTCTTGATGGGTGTATTAATATAAAATTACTCATTATTTTTAAATCCCTTAACAACAAAAGACATACATATATATACGTCCTACTTTGAATCAGTTAGTAATGGACAATTGCAGATGTCTTATAGTACAGTGATAAGTTACATGCTAGTGTAAATCGTAGATCTAAAACGATTTATATGTCATAATGCTATTATTTGTATGATGTTCTCATCTATTCTCTTTGTATGAATTGTCTCATAGTCTTGGAAAATGCCATTTGTTTGAAAAATAATCTCACTCTCAAGGGATTAATTATTCAGTTGAGACAATAGGATTTAAACAAACAATAAACGATGTTTTTTTCATCGTATTAGAAATAACGATATTTGAAAATTAACTACTTAGTCGAATTTAACATTTGATTTCACTCTTAGATTACTATTTTTTTATCATTAGTTTCTTGTTTATTTTACAATTCTTTTTTTTTTTTGAAATATTATTTTTAATAGTGATTAGTTATTCATTCGAATAAGACTTATATCAAGCATTAAAAAAACAATGTATTACGCATCTCCTTATTATTATATAAAAAGTATTTTAAAAAATATTTTTTTTCAAATTTTAATTAGAATTATTGATTAAAAATGACACTTTTGATTATGTTTTAATTATGTTTTCTTCTACTATTTTTGTCATGATACCTTTATAATTATACAATCGAATAGAAAAACAACTAGAGTGTCATGTGAATGTCAATATTAGCATTAATGAATATCTATTCTATAATGTTTAATTATTATTTTTATAAATAAAATCTAATGTATTTTTATTATTTTACTTTAAAATTATTTCATGATAAATTTTTTTACCATAAAAATATATTATTTTGAATTCTAATTAATCTATATGCGACTACATCTGTGATACATTAGATGCCAAATATTTTTCTACATTTAAAAATAGCACTAAATTGTTGTTTTATTCGAAAATATTTTGAACTTAAACTAATTTAGTTGCAAATATTATGTGTATTAAAATTATAGATAAATTTTCTACTAACATCTTTGCATAAAATTTTTCAACTATTAAATAATACTAAAGGGTTAGATTTAATCTTATGCAGAATAAGTTTTGAAATGGATGATTTTTATGATTACTTAGGAAATGACAAAAATATTTTTTAATTAAATATAAATCATTTCAATATAGAGAACATAAGCGTATTCTATACTGTTTGATAAGTTGTTTTCTACAGTCATTTACTACATAAATTTTAATATATCTTTCCGTATAGGTGAATTCTTAATTGAAAATTATTCTTGTATGTTCATGATAAAAAATATTTATTCTAGTATAGTTTAGCAGGTTGATTGTAAATTTTGAGTTCATTTATATTGAAACGTAAGTTTCTATAATCAAAACCTCGTACATACTTTCCTTTTTATATTATTTGATGTCATAGTGACCCTCGTTGTGTTAACATATCATTGTTTTTGAGAGCACTGAAACTAGCTTATCAGCAGAAAAATACTTATCACACGAAAAAATAGAATCTATACTGGATACACTTGTGCATTCAAAAATAGATCAATAATCATTGAAAAAAGTCGACTTTTGCTTGAAACTCAGAAATTTTTTCCTATAGAAAATAAATCTTCCATTCATAAGACGATAAAGATTCTTGATGGCTATTTCTGAGATAAATCTTTTATTACCACATAAAATGCACTTGAACAAGCTTTTAATAACAAGTTGTCAAGCAATATAAAATAATACAGTTCTGTTTCAAATGTTTTGAAATTATTTCTATTTAATTGAAAAGGATTTTTGCAATTTCCTCACTCGTAGTATAAATCACTTAAAATCAAGATTGAAATTACATATAGTCAAAACTCATTCATTTCAAAAGACTCAAGTAAGTTTTTGTTTTTTTGAAGAGAACTCTCAAAAACAACCGATCAAAACAATCGGAAGATAATAATCATTAAAAATTTCATTAGTAATTCGAATAATAACTCTTGGATAAACCAATAGCATTAGGATTAAAATAGTAAACATTACAAATATCATTACTTTTTGCGATTCATTGAAAAGTTTGAAAAAACTCAGCTGTCAATACACTTGAACGACCTAATACTTCAAATACTTACTCTAAAAACATTGACATGGTCTCTTTACACTAATACTTATATGATATTTATAGAAAGTGCAAACCAATAATAAT